ATAGCATTCTTCCTTGCTGTCCTAAGAACTTCGACAACTGAGTTCTGAAAAAGCACGTGGCGGACGCGATGTTACAAGAAGTGTAAGTATATATATGTATATATATATAACATATTTTGGCTCCGCATTGTTATGTGAAAATATTGTTGTCATCCACTGCTGCGTTTCGTCCCGGCCCCCACTACTGGACTCATCAGTAAGGCATTGTAGTGGGAGCCTGCCTTAGACGCCTGGAGGTGTCTTAGAGCGAGGTGCTATATGAATAGATCTCACGTATCTCGAGTACATGCGAGAATTGGCGCGAGTCTCTTCCTTTTGAGTCTTTTCCTTTTTGGACCTCTGGTGGCGAGCCGCCACAGGACTCCCCTCCTAATGATGGCGCTATCCAACGGATTGCGTCAGAATGATAAGAATCCGGTAAGGACGAGCGCGGTGTGGATTGGTACCGCTCGTGGCTGCTCTGTGCTACTCGGTGCCGCCCGTCCGCTGCTCGTGCGATCGCGCTGGGATCTAGCTTACGAGCGTGTGCGTGAGCGTGTGTGCGAGCGTGTGCTTGAGCATGTGTGCGAGCGAGCGTTGCGTATGTTGTCTTGCGTATTCAAATCACGTCGGGGTCACCAGTTTAATTTTCCCCCACTTTGTTAACTCCGTCAGTAGATGTTAAAGAATCGAGGGGCGCAGGAACTGGGAAATGATGCAGTAGAGAAATGTAAGGTCATCAATAAACATATGTAAAGAACTTAGTTTATAATTCGTCAATGTATTAAAAAAAATGAAATTACAAGCGCTAGAGACAGGAAATGTACTCGTCTAGCATCACTCGGTTACAATTCTGTTTGAAAAACCGCCGCGATATCAATTAGTCGACTTTTCACGGAAAGATATCTCTTCTCCGAACTCGCTAGATACAGCTCCGAAAACCCCCGTGGGTCTCAGAGTCAGCTGATCGACTGTCCCTCTTTCTTATCTCGCTCGGTTCTCTTACCATTTTCGACTTTCTCGTAATTTCTGCGGACTGTAAATATTGTTACGCATGTATGATATGCGGTGCTCCGCTTATTGTCGTTATTATATTTTTAAAATTTTTCATCCTATAGGAATATCTAATTATATTAATATTTTATTTATCATTAATACTGCTAACTTTATCCTCGCATTATCATTATATTTGCCTCTACTTTCGCGTGCTTACTACAAATACCATCACATGCTTGACACACAAAAACTCGTGCAAGAAACGCACGAATTTAAAAGGCTATTTCCTACCTATATTTCTCCGTGTACGTTACGTTTATCTCTCTATGTTTATGTTTTGATGTTTACTCTCGCGGCTTTTCAGTACTTGTGTCGATGCAATCGCCACAGCACCCCCTTGCCAGTGATGGACTTATCATCACGTTACAAACTTATTTTCGGCGTACACTTCGTCAGCGAGCTACTCTGAATATAAGTGCAGTATTAGTAATAGTTATAAATATACTGAATACAATAAATAAGTTAAAATAAAATGCTACCTGGAGAAACAAAATAAAATAAAATATCTACAATAGTATCGTCATCTATAAGAATACTTATGGTTATCATTACTTTCACACGGACGACCCAACAGCGCGGATAAAATAAAAACCATATAAATAAATATATATATAAATAGAACCTAACACATTTAGTAAGGCACTATACGCAAACATCAATTCTGGCGCATTCTCTCGTCACTTTTTCCTGATTGGTAAGCCTCGCTCCTCCCCGGCCGGACCGTGTCATCGCTCCTCGGTTCCGCCCGGGCTCGGCCGTATTTATCTGCTAATTTTCGTTCCTGTTCCTCGCTCTATGCGTCCTCGGCCGTCTCGTTGTCTCCAATTCATCTTAGGCCTGCCTGAAAACGCTCCGGGAAGCGAACTTTCCTGCCGGCCCTCGTCGTCACTCTCGGCTGCTCCAAAGCGGGCGCTGCTCCTTCTTCCGTCTCTGCGTCCCTCGCGTCGGCGTTCCGCTTCGTTCTTTCCTCTGCAGACTCCAGCGTCTCGTCTTCGGTCATGCTTTCTGCAAGTATGTACGCGGGCTTTAACCGATCCACGGAAATTGTTACCTTCTTTCCCTGTACCAGCACTACAAACACCTTCTCATCACGGCTAACCACCGCGTATGGTCCGTCGTACGGTGCCTGCAACATCACCTTCTGTGCATCCCGCCTTATGAACACCTGCTCGGCTCTCGTCAGATCCTTGAACACGAACGCTCGACGCTCGCCATGCCGAGTACCGTCGACCGGGCGCAGCTCACTGAAATGTTTTCTCAGCTCCCTCACAAAATTGACAACGTCGTCCTCGGGCGTCGACTGTCGATTCAAAAATTGACCGGGAAGTCGTAATGTCTCCCCGTATACTAGTTCGGCCGTGGTCGCTTTCAAATCCTCTTTCCAGGCCGCCCGAATTTCTAATAACACTGTGGGCAACACCTCAGTCCATCGGTTGTTGTTCTGGCATTTTATCGCCGCCTTAAGCTGTCGATGAAATCTCTCGACCATGCCGTTCGCTTGCGGATGGCATGCTGTCGTCCGGAGATGCAATGCCCCCGTGAGCTCGCTCAGCCGCCGGAAGAGCTGAGACTCAAATTGGCGTCCTTGATCTGTCGTGACGCGCAAAGGGGTCCCGAATCGACACATCCAGCCTTCGTAAAACGCTCTTGCTACTGTCTCTGCTTCCTGGTCTTCCAGTGGGAGTGCTTCCGGCCATCGTGTAAAACGATCCACACAAGTCAAACAGTATCGCTTACGTTGTGAGATGGGCATCACAATAATATCGAGATGGACGTGCTCGAACCTCCGAGACGGTACAGTGAATTTTCCCAAGGACGCCACGATATGGCGGGACACCTTGGACCTCTGGCAAGGTATACACGCTCGAGCCCATTCGCGGCAATCCTTTCTCATCGCCGGCCAGACGTAGCGCTGTGCCACGAGCTTGGCCGTCGCCTTCACACCCGGATGAGCCAGGTGGTGAACCGATTCAAATGCCATCCGCCGGAATGGCTTCGTCAGGTACGGACGCTGCACTCCTGTCGTCATGTCGCAATAGATGGCTACTCCTGTTCCTGGAACCTCGACCCTCTCTAATTTTAGTGTTGCATCCCGCTGCAAGTGTTTACTCAACTCCTCATCGTCCTCCTGCGATGCCGCCAACGCGACATAGTCCATGGGCGCCTGGACTTCCTCGATTCTTGATAACGCGTCAGCCACGACGTTATCTTCTCCCGACACATATCGAATGTCGGTTGTGAATTGACCTATGTAATCGAGGTGGCGAAATTGACGCGGCGTACTCCGCTCTGGTTTCTGCTGGAAGGCAAAAGTTAACGGCTTATGGTCCGTATATATTGCAAACGTTCTCGCCTCGAGCATATGATGGAAGCGTTTGACAGAGAGATACATGGCTAATAGCTCTCTGTCAAATGCACTGTATTTTGTTTCCGCTGGGCCTAGCTTCTTCGAAAAGAACGCCAGTGGTTCCCAGCCATTCTCACTCAGCTGTTGTAGCGCCGCTCCGACGCTATGTTCGGACGCATCCGTAAACAGCGCGAGTTCTGCGTTGGCCTTCGGGTGCGCTAGTAATGTCGCCCGAGCCAACTTCTCCTTCGAGTCTTCGAACGCCTGTCGGGCCCGCGTCGTCCACGTTATCATCGCCTTTTCCTTCATGCCGCCATGCAGTAGGTCATTGAGAGGCGCTAAGGTTTCCGCTACTCTCGGTAAAAATCTCCTATAAAAATTTAGCATTCCGAGGTATCTACGCAGGTCCCTCGCGGTCTCCGGCTCGCGATACTCGAGAATCGCTTTTGCGCGCGCGGTCTGCGGGCGAGTTCCCTCTCCAGACACGGAATATCCCAAGAACTCTACCTCGGTCTGTCCAAACACACATTTCGCGGGATTGATCACCACTCCGTATTCTTGTAGTCGCTCAAATAATATTTTTACATGTTCGCCATGCTCCTCGTCCGTCGATGATGCTACCAAAATATCGTCGATATACGCATAACAGAAATCAAGTCCTCGATAAACCTCGTCAATAAACCTTTGAAACGTTTGTGCCGCGTTTCACAAACCGAAGGACATATACATAAACTCGAACATACCGAACGGCGTGGTGATTGCTGTTTTCGGTATGTCCTCTTCTGCGATCGGTCTTCTGGTATCTGATGGTAGGCTCTAACGAGATCTATCGTTGTAAAGATTTTTTTACCTTGCAGTGCCTGCGCGAAGTCATGAATATGTCGAACAGGATACTGATCCGGTATCGTTCGCGCATTCAGTGCCCTGTAATCACCGCACTGGCACCATTCTTCGCCCCGCTTCGGCACCATATGCAACGGAGCGGACCAACAGCTCTTAGATGGTCGCACAACTCCGATTTCCACAATTTTCCGAAATTCCGCCCTTGCAGCAGCCAAGCGATCCGGTGCGAGTCTTCTCGGCCTGCACGACGCTGGCGGTCCTGGCGTCGTCTCAATATAATGTCGTGTATCGTGCTTCATAAGCTTGAGCTGTCCTCCGGGTTTCGTGATGTCGGGATAATTCGCCAGCAGCTGATGATACGATGTCGCTCCCGCGATCGTCCTTACACCTGGCATCTCGCACCGCATGCAACGCCCGCGCGCCGTCAAACTTGTCATCTGGTCGATTAGACGAGAACCTCGCAAATCCACCAACAATCCGTAATACGCGAGGAAATCAGCGCCAATGATCGGTCTCGACACGTCCGCGACCACGAATCGCCAAGTAAAAACGCGGCGAAGTGCAAAATTCAATGTCAACGTTTCAGTCCCGTACGTGTTAATTGCCGTGCCGCTGGCCGCCGAGAGTTCGTAGGTGGATCTTTGTCGTGGTCCCCGGACCATCCTTCTAGGAAATACGCAAAGATCTGCACCTGTGTCTACTAAAAAATCTGTTTTTGTCACTCTGTCTGTTACGAAAAGGCGACGCGTCCGTCGGCCCGAATCGTACATCGCCATTAACGACCGGCCGTGATGTTTCTCTGCGCTGCCGAACAAGGTGCCTCGCATCGGTGCGCGTCTGGTCCATAACGCCAATGGTACCAGCAAAGTCCGTTTGAAGCATGTCCATGCTCTCGAGGGCGCGACCTTGAACACGAACGCCTCCGGCGTCGACCGTCGCTGCGGTCGTCTCTGCGAGAACGCGGCTCACCGATCGCTTCGATCGATCTTCGGATCGCCGTCAACTGCTCTGCCAACTCCTGCTGCAGACTCAAACGAAATTGCGCTAAACGCAGTTCTAATTTTGCTTCGATTGAGGCATCATCGTTCGTGTCCTGACGTACCGGGGCTCGCGCAGCCTCCGCGATTTGAAACATGGGCGCCCGGGTGGCCTCCACAATCGCATCCGCCATGTCCGCCAGCTGCTCAAGTGTGTCTGCTGTGCGTGTCACTAAATGTGGCTGAATGTACGCCGGCAATCGACTCAGCCATACCGTCCGCAACAAGCCGTCGCCAACCACGCTTCCGGCAAGTCCGCGAAGGTGTCGTAAAAATTGCGACGGTTTCCTATCGCCGATTTCTTCATGCTCCAGGAGTCTACGCGTTTTATGCTCCTGGGATAGGCTAAGGCGTTTTATTAGTTCCGTCTTCAGCGTCTCATATGCTCTCTCCGCGGGCGGATTCATAATAATATCCCGTACTTCCGTCGTATACCGCGGACCGATCGCTGTTAACGCGTATCCGAATTTCGTTCCATTGACCGTTATCCCGGCGGCCTAGAAACTGTGGTCAACTATACTGAACCATAGTTCAGGATCCGCGGGCGTAAATTCTGGCATTCGCATGCCAACACGGCTGACCTCATTACCCGTCACGAAAAAGTTTAACGGCTGTGCCATATCTCGACGCATCCACTGCTGCTGCTGAATCGACTGCGACCCTTGCTGTGTACCCTGCACACACTGCTGCTCCGACCCCTGTATCTCTCGCTCTGCCTGCGTCTGTTGTGCACCTAAATCTTGCTGTGACGTCTGCGGTCGCACCTCTTCCTCACGCATCATGAACATTTTTGTATCTTCACTTCGTGCGTTCACTTTCTGCGGCGGTCACCCGATACCAACAAGCGAAAGAGAATCACGTTCGAATTTCCGTGACAATGTCTGTCTTTACTCGCGCACTTGCAATATTGTATGTAACGCGAAAATCTATCTCCGATCACGTCGGGGTCACCAGTTAGGCTCCGCATTGTTTATGTGAAAATATTGTTGTCATCCACTGCTGCGTTTCGTCCCGGCCCCCACTACTGGACTCATCAGTAAGGCATTGTAGTGGGAGCCTGCCTTAGACGCCTGGAGGTGTCTTAGAGCGAAGTGCTATATGAATAGATCTCACGTATCTCGAGTACATGCGAGAATTGGCGCAGCCTCTTCCTTTTGAGTCTTTTCCTTTTTGGACCTCTGGTGGCGAGCCGCCACAGGACTCCCCTCCTAATGATGGCGCTATCCAACGGATTGCGTCAGAATGATAAGAATCCGGTAAGGACGAGCGCAGTGTGGATTGGTACCGCTCGTGGCTGCTCTGTGCTACTCGGTGCCGCCCGTCAGCTGCTCGTGCGATCGCGCTGGGATCTAGCTTACGAGCGTGTGCGTGAGCGTGTGTGCGAGCGTGTGCTTGAGCATGTGTTCGAGCGTGCGTTGCGTATGTTATCTTGCGTGTTCAAATCACGTCGGGGTCACCAGTATAATTTTCCCCCACTTTGTTAACTCCGTCAGTAGATGTTAAAGAATCGAGGGGCGCAGGAACTGAGAAATGATGCAGTAGAGAAATGTAAGGTCATCAATAAACATATGTAAAGAACTTAGCTTATAATTCGTCAATGTATTAAAAAAATGAAATTACAAGCGCTAGAGACAGGAAATGTACTCGCCTAGCATCACTCGGTTACAATTCTGTTTGGAAAACCGCCGCGATATCAATTAGTCGACTTTTCACGGAAAGATATCTTTTCTCCGAACTCGCTAGACACAGCTCCGAAAACCCCCGTGGGTCTCAGAGTCAGCTGATCGACTGTCCCTCTTTCTTATCTCGCTCGGTTCTCTTACCATTTTCGACTTTCTCGTAATTTCTGCGGACTGTAAATATTGTTACGCATGTATGATATGCGGTGCTCCGCTTATTGTCGTTATTATATTTTTAAAATTTTTCATCCTATAGGAATATCTAATTATATTAATATTTTATTTATCATTAATACTGCTAACTTTATCCTCGCATTATCATTATATTTGCCTCTACTTTCGCGTGCTTACTACAAATACCATCACATGCTTGACACACAAAAACTCGTGCAAGAAACGCACGAATTTAAAAGGCTATTTCCTACCTATATTTCTCCGTGTACGTTACGTTTATCTCTCTGTGTTTATGTTTTGATGCTTACTCTCGCGGCTTTTCACATAAAATACAATATATTTTATGTATGTTCATTGCAGTTATTTTCTAGAAAACTGTAATATGCAGATTGTGATCTGTTTTACTTATATGTAGGTATGTTCATTTAGAATTTGTACCTTGAATAATCTGTCATTTACTTTTCGTGGTACATATTCAACATAGAAAATAACATAATGTATGTTAACTTTGAACTGGCACATTTAGTAATATATCAGTTACATTTCCTGGTCATATATTATATTAGATAATATCATATAAAGTGTTAAAGGTTTAAATTATTATGTTACATTATTAGATAATCATTTTAATTAAGAAAGGTTCAAATTTTTGGGGTTAATTTTCAAAGGTTGAAATTTATTGGGTTTTCTATTTTATGGTTAGGTAATCATTTTAATTTAGGAAGGATCAAATTTTTGCGGTTAGTTTTCAAAGGTTTAAATTTGTTGGGTTTTTGAACTTGCGCGGATCTATTTTTGAACATGGCTTGACCTTTCATTTTAAAAGATATGTTAGGATTAATAATACATCAGTTACTTTTCGTGGTTAATATATTATTATTAGATAATCATTTAAAAGAGAAAGAGAAATGCCTAATCGAGTCTTGTACACAGGATGTTAGTGTGTGTTGATAAGATTTATTGAAAATATACAATTTTTCTTACGTTTCGATCCTCGGTTTGGATCCTTATCAAAGAACTTCTAATATAGAATACACATTGTGTTACCTAGAACACTTTATATTAAAATGTATCACGAAAAGTAAATAATATAATATATGACCACGAAAAGTAACTGATATATTACTAAATGTGCCAGTTCAAAGTGAACATACATTATGTTATTTTCTATGTTATGTACCACGAAAAGTAAATGAAAACTACAAAAATTGAAATTATCAAAATTAAAACGATTACCTAATCACAAAATAAAAAACACAATGAATATCATCCTTTAAAAATTGACCCCAAAAATTTGTACCATTCTAAATTAAAATGATTATCTAATAATGTAACCTAATAATTTAAACCTTTAATACTTTAAATGATATTATCTAATATAATATATTACCACGAAAAGTAACTGATATATTACTAAATCTGCCAGTTCAAAGTGAACGTACATATAACGAATATTTTCTATGTTGAATATGTAC